ATGCCATAATTTATTTAACCATTCCCCTCTTATTACCTTTTAAAAAGCTTTTATATTGCCATCCTCTAAGCCATTCATCTGTTGTATGGTTATTGTTACTTTGTGATTATAGAACTCACATAATTTTTCTACGTTACCTTTTCCTGGCCTCAGACACGTTTACCCATCCCTCTTTCATATTCACAATATGCTCTTTTTGTAGGTCGTCCTTTCCATTTAAAGGTTCTGCGTCTCCTCAATGGGGACTCTTTCCCCACCAGCCTTCCAGCACAGCCAGAGAGAATTTAGAGCCTCTTCCCCCCTCTCCCATTTATGGTCCCTACTTCCTGTTCCAGTAAAACACCAATGCTCTACTTCACAATAATTCTGCACTGTCGTCCTACCCCAACCCACAGTCTGGTGGCAAGTGTATAAAGTATCTTTTAATTGTGTTTACCCTGTTGTGACAGTTGGGCTATAAAAAGATTCACATCAGTGGAAATGCTGTGTGTTGGCAAGAGTTGCTCATAACAAACACAGGAAGACTACACTAAGCTGCATAAGAGGAAGGACAGACAATTAGTTATCCAGACATCAGCTGGATGTGTCATTCAGCTAAAAGCAAAAATCTCATTCAGTTTTGATTGGCCTCATTTTACCTCAGAATGGAAAGGAAGTAGAGGTTGGGAGAGAGGATGCTACTCTGTGTCTAATCTTCCTACTAGGAGGAACTGAGACGGAAGGGGGAGAAACTTTGAGAGAAAGTGATAGAGTCATCTGGGAAATTGTCATGGTGGAGGGAGGCAGATACTGGGTATGGTCACAAACAGCCTGCAGACTTGAGAAAGGCAAATTTCAAAAGACAGAAAAAAACAATGCTGTGAGCAGAGATCCTAAGAAAAGATGGTGTGAGAGCGATGGACAGACTTAAAAGGGCTCTTTCCTTTCACGTGCAATCTACGCGGGTGCTACCCAAAGACTGGTCTGCAGACTGGCAGCATCCCCATCACCTGGAAGGTTACCAGGAGTGCAGCTTCTTGGTTCCCAGCCCAGATCTATTGAAGCAAATCTCTTGGGACCAGGAATCTGTGTTTTAACAAGCCTTTCAGGTGATTCAGAAATGTAAGTTTGAGACAGAACTTCGAACCACTTCTTCCTGGCTCAGTCATGGCTGAGGAGGCGACACTGGAACAGATCTGAATTTTTTAAATTTGGGTGACTCGGAACCATAACCAGAATGGGAAGAATTACAGGTCAAAGCCCTACTAGAAACTTAATCTCCCTCGTAGAAAATAAGGGCAGAGTACGTGTTGCATAGCCACCAAATCTCTTGCCTGTCAGATTCTCTGCAGAGTCGGAAACAGCAGTGCCTGGCTCAAAGATGACGGCTGACAATGCCACTTTAAACACGTGTTGTTCTCCTCAGCCCTCGCAGTAATCCAGTTTCATGTATCAGGCTCCTGAAAGGGCCTGCTATGTCTCTTCTGAATCTCCCATTCCAGGGCTTAGACCCATCATTTTTCCCCTTCCGGATCTGGTTCCGGATCACCCAAATTAAAAAAATTCAGGTCTCTTCCGGTTTCTCTTTGTCGGCCGTGACTGAACCGGTTTGAAGCGGTTCAAAGCCTTGGTTTGAGAAATACTAGTTTACACCAGTGCTACTCAAAATGTGGTTTATGAACCATCAGTTACTGGACCACGAGGAGAATGCAAAAATTGAGAGTAAACACTTAGAAATGTTTCTTATTTAATTGGATATGGCTGTGACATCCAAGTATGGAATCCTTTAAAAATCTTTAATTTATTGTGTTTTACAAAATAATAGTCTACAATAGATTGGAAATGTACAACAAACAGCTCAGAAATCCTCGAAACTGGTGCTTGACCACAGATAGTTTGAGAAGCACTGGTCTACACCATTTGTCTCTTTTTAGACAAAACTGCTTGTGAAATTTCAAAGAGCCACTTGCAAGGGTCACTTTCAAAATGGGTACTCACTTGTTTTGTTGGAAGTGAAAACCCATGACCTTGGTGTGCAGGGATAAGCAGGAACTAGACCCTACAGGGTCATGAAGGGTCCTGGTCCTGCTGAGGGATTTGGTCTTATCTAAGAACAAAGGGAAGCCACTGAAGGTTTTTGCAGTGGGAAAATGGCACAATCAGATTTACATTTCAAAAAGAGTGGGCAAGACTGGGTGGAGGGAGAGAGTTGGGAGCCCACTGCAGTTGTCCAGACTAGAGATGATGGTAGTTTAGGATGTAGAGATGAAGAAAAGTGAATAAATTCAAGAGATTTATTTTCTGTCTTAAAAATGCAACTTGAATATATGTAAGGACACGCGAGAGAGAATTACCTCGTTCTACTCTTTCTTTAAGGAGCCCTGGTGACACAGTGGTTAAGCACTCAACTGCTAACCGAAAGGTTGGTGGTTCGAACCCACCAGCCGCTCCGTAGGAGAACAATGTGACAGTCTGCTTCTGTAAAGATTACAGCCTTGGAAACCCTATGAGACAGTTTTATTTATTTATTTTTTTAATTGTGCTTTAGATGAGGGTTTACAGAGCAAATTGGTTTCTCATTAAACAATTAATACACATGTTGTTTTATGACATTAGTTGCCAACCCCACGACGGGTCGACACTGTCCCCTTCTCGACCTTGGGTTCCCCATTACCAGCTTTCCTGTCCCCTCGTGCCTTCTCGTCCTTGCCCCTGGGCTGGTGTGCTCATTTAGTCTTGTTTTGTTTTAATGTCTAATCATTGGCTGAAGGGTGAACCTCAGGAGTAACTTCAGTACTTGAGTTAAAAGGGTGTCCGGGGGCCATACTCTCAGAGTTTCTCTAGTCTCTGTTAGACCAGTAAGTCTGGTCTTTTTTTATGTGTTAAAATTTTGTTCTACATTTTTCTCCGGCTCTGTCCAGGACCCTCTATTGTGATCCCTGTCAGAGCAGTTGGTGGTGGTAGCTGGGCACCATCTAGTTTTGCTGGACTCAGTCTGGTGGAGGCTGTGGTACTTGTGGTCCATTACTCATTTGGACCTATATTCTCTTGTGTCTTTGGTTTTCTTCATTCTCCGTTGCTCCAGATGGGCTTGGACCAGTGGAGTATCTTAGATGGCTGCTCACAAGCTTTTAAGACCCCAGATGCTACTTACCAAAGTAGGATGTAGAACATTTTCTTTATAAACTGTGTTATGCCAATTGAGCCAGATGTCCCCCAAGACCATGGTCACCTATGGGGCAGTTTTACCCTGTCCTCTAGGGTCACTGTGAGTCAGAATGGACTTGATGGCAACAGGGTACTCTTTCTTTGGCTTTGTTTCCCGTATATCTTAATACTAGTGGTTTTTCATAATATCAGGTTTCTCTGCTATCTGTTTAAATAAAAGGATAGGTAAGTAGTTGCACAGCTTGTATTTCCTCTTATTTCATTCCACCCACTGCAGATGTTCATGCCCAACCACGTGACCCAGGAGCTTAGGGAAGAGAGGGCGAGCACGCCTGGCTCTGTGCATTATCCTTCTGAGCCCCTAGCAAGCTTGGTTCCAGTCTTAATTTACTGTAGAAAAACTGGCTATTGGCCTTTTTATTCACCTTGGGTCTTACAACCTGAGAACACAATTTTAATTATATTTCCACAAGAAATCAGTGTCGAAATTTTGAAATATTTTCATAAATAGAGTATATTGAAAATATAATTTTGCCAGAAATACACAGGTGTAAAACCAGTTAACTAAAATTTTTTAATGTGGATGATCACATGTGATGTGTGCTTGTTTGTATGACTGCTGGTTTCTGGTAATTAAACACAATGCATATTTATCAAGGGCAGACTTGGTGCCTAGCAGAGTTTATGCAGTCATTCCCAGACTCTGGATTTAACTGACCAGTAGTATTTCTTGTGCATTTGGGGAGTCTAACTAGGGTTGCCTCCTGTTTATTTTATCAAGAAAGAGCCTAAAGCCAAATAAAGAATTTTTCTAGCTACTTAATTCAGAACATATAAACACGATTAACATCAAAGGATGGGAAGTGGCCAAGAAAAGATTCTCTGTTTTCTCCATTACTTTTTAAAAGCCAACTTTACTGAGACATAATTTAGATGTAGAAAAATACAGCCATCTTAAGTGAGGGGAAGAAACAGGTAAGAAGGACAAAATCTTAGAATTTAGAACAGTTCTTAAAATTGAACAATTTTAGCTTTTGAAAAGTTCACTACATTACCTTTATTTTTGTCTTTTTACTATCCATGCACGGATTGATGAAAATGTCCTAAGGGACTGGTCTGCAGGTAGCTTGTAGGAGCCTCTATTCTACGAGTGGCTGGGAAAGGGGAAACTCTCCATGCTATCTGTTTAAATAAAAGACTAGGTAGATAGTTGCTTTGCTGTATCCATCAACGTTGGGCGCAATGGTGAAGCGCTTGGCTGCTCACCGAAAGGTAGGCATTTGAATCACCCCGCGGCTCCACAAGAGAAGGACCTGGCCATCTGCTTCCATAAAGATTGTTGTTGTTGTTAGGTGCCGTCCAGTCGGTTCCGACTCATAGCGACCCTGCGTACAACAGAACGAAACACTGCCCGGTCCTGCGCCATCCTCATAATCTTTGCCGTGTTTGAGCCCATTGTTGCAGCCACTGTGTCAGTCTATCTTGTTGAGGGTCTTCCTCTTTTTCACTGACCCCCTACTTTACCAAGCATGATGCCCTCCTCCAGGGACTAGTCCCTCCTGATAACATAAAGATTACAGCCTACAAAACCCTATGGGGCAGTTTTATTCTGCCACCTGGGGTCGCTAAGAGTCGCAGTTGACTCCAGGACACCCAACACCACCAACATGTATCAACACAGACATTGAGGAGCCCTTGCTGGGGCCTAGAAGTGGAAGGTGAGGTCACCAGTTGAGGCAGGTGGTGGCTATGGGGTGTGTGTATGTGTTGAGGGGGGCACTATTCTTCTGTACTTCTGCATTACTTCATTGCTTCTTACCAATCCACTTCTTTTTGTATTTTTTAATGTGTAGCCTATCAGCTTATCACGGTGGTGATTGCAGCAGCAGGAGGTGGGCTTCTACTTATCCTAGGTATTGCACTGATCATTACCTGTTGCAGGTGAGTCTTGGGAGTTCAAGTTCTGTTTCTTTTCCTGTGCTATGCAAGGGTCAATTTTTACTCTTTTAAAGAAAGTTTAGGGTGGTTTACATGTTAAATCCTAATGCATGACTGATCATTAAAAAAAGGAGCAAAGGAAATTCATGACACTTGGTGCCAGTGGGGGAAGAAAAGGGAGCAGATGAGACTTTATTGTCTTTATTAAAAAGGAATGTCCACAAACACAAGAAGAAGGAAAAAAGAGATGAATTGGACTTCATCCAAATTAAAAACATTTGTGCTTTTTAAAGGACACTGTTGAGCAAGTGAAAAGACAACCCACAGACTGGGAGAAAATATTTGCAAATCATGTATCTGGTAAGGGACTTGTATCCAAAATATATGAAGAACTCTTACAACTCAATAATGAAAAGACAACTCAACTGAAAAATGAGTGAAGGATCTGAACAGATATTTCTTCACAGAAGAAATACAAATGGCCAATAAGTGCACAAAATGATGCTTGACGTCACTCGCCATCAGGGAAATGCAAATCAAAACCGCATGAGACACCGCTTCACACCCACTGTTGTTGTTGTTGTTGTTGCTGGGTGCCGAATAGATGATTATAATCAAAAAAGAAAGAAAATGATAGGTGTTAATGAGGATGTGGAGAAATTGGAACCCTTCTACACGGCTGGTGGATGGTAAAATAGAGCAGCACCTTTGGAAAATAGCCTGGCAGTTCCTCAAAATTAACCATAGAGTTACCATATGACCCAGCAATCCCACCCCTAGGTGTATGCCCAAGAGACGTGAAAACATATATCCACACAAAAACCTGTACGTGAATGTTCATAACAGCATTACTCATAATAGCCAAAAGGTGGAAACAACCGAAGTGTCCATCAACTGATGAATGGATAAACAAAATGTGGTATGTCCACACAGTGGATTATTATTTGGCCATAAAAAGGATTGAAGTACTGATACTTGCCACAAAATGTATGACCCTTGAAAACATGGTGCCTGAAAGTGAATGCTAGTCAGAAAAAGACCATTTACTGTATGATTCCATTGATATGAAATATCTAAAATAGGCAAATCTATAGAGACCAAAAGGAGCCCTGGGGGCACAGTGGTTAAAGCGCTTGGCTGCTAACCTAAAGGTTGGCTGTTTGAACCCACCAGCCGCTCAGCGGGAGAAAGATGTGGCAGCCTGCTTCAGTGAAGATCGCAACCTTGGAAACCTCAGGGGGCAGTTCTACCCTGTCCTATAGGGTCGCTGTGAGTCAGAATTGACTCCAAGGCAGTGGGTTATAGAGACAAAAAGTAGATTTGTGGTTGCCTAGGGCTGGGGGAGCATTGTGGAGGGGAGATTGGGTGTGGTAGCTAAGGGGTACCAGGTTTCTTTTGGAGGTAATGAAAATGTTCGAAAACTAATTGTCATGATGGTTGGACAACTCCAAATATACTAAAAACCACTGAATTATACACTTTTAATGGGTGAATTGTATGCTACATGAATTATGTCTCAATAAAGCTGTTATCAAAAATAATAATAATAATTGTAGCAGGAGTGCGGAATGAGCATCTGCTCGATGGGAAACTTGGCACTAGGCTTTCTGGAAGCTGCCGGTGATTGGGTTCCTGCTGGAGAAGGAGACGTTTGTCTCCTTTCCGTGTGATTATCTATTCAGATAAGGGAAAATTATGGTTTTAGGTGTGATTTTGATTTAGAAGATAGTAAATAGCAGGAGTCATCAGGACTTAACAGATGGCATGAACCTACTGGAGGGAACCTGCCAAAGTACCAAGTTCCCCTTTCTCTGACGTTTTAAGATACCAGCTCTCTCCGTTATGGCTGCAGAGCCAAGTTGGGGATTTGCAGCAATTTGCCCTAACTGCCCATTTCCGGAATGGAGATCTCTCAGTACACTAGGCCTTTGCCTCTTATTTATCAAATTGCCATCAAACTGTCAAAGACAAACTGTATGAGTGGAAATAAAATTCTGGGTCTGAGACTAGGAGCAGTTACCTAGAGGGACAGAAACTGAGGGCTCAGCTTTTAGCCTTGCATTTGCTAAGTGTTGGGTAGCACTTCCTGTGATCACTGGTTACAGGGAAGGGAAGGGAGTTGTAAATGAGTGAGTCATTGTTTGAGACAGGATATTCCACCTCCAGGGAGCCACACAGTGACAAGTGTGTTCTGAACTTGTAAGAGGGGCCAACACCTAAGCCACATGCTGGACATTTGGTTTCATGACCCTGAGTCTTTTCATGCCTTCCCCTCAAAATGTATTTATAGCAAAGTAAGTAGGAGGAAGAAACTTCAGGTTGTTTTACCCAGGGCAAATACCATTAGACATCTCTGATCTGAGGCCCAGTAGATAGGTGAATAGCACACCAGTGAAATGTCCCCAGTAGGAAGGCTGTCCCAGAGTTGTCCTGATCTGCTGAAATGAGAATATATACAGATATATAAATTTGGGGGGGGGGTGCAAACAAGATTCCCTGTTTTTATGGTTTGTGATGTAGTTTCATGTGGTGGAAAAAGCACTGCCCACGGAGCTGGGAGGCCTGAATTCTAGTCCCAGCTCTGCTCATAGCAAAATGTGACCCAGGGCACAAGTCACATCTCTTCTGTGAACCAGAGTTGCCCCATCCCCAGAAATGCTGATTCAGTAACTCTGAGTGAGACCCAGAAGCTACCCACGTAAATTCTGATGCTAAGGCAAGTTGGGAACCATTGGATTAGAAGGATTCCAAGGGCCCTTCTGGCTCCAGCGTTCTGTGAAGTTATGACTCCTGTTTCCCTGGCCACCCCAAGACCCAGTGATGTCTGCCCCCACACTAATCTAAGTCTGCTCCACTGCAGCTGTCTTTGGCCTCCCTGTCCCTGATAATCTAGTCCTTTTGGTTGGAAAATTTTTTGTAATTTTTTTTTGCACCTAATTGCATTTTTATTTGTATTAGACAAATACTACAAATACTAACAGCCATCTTAAGACTCCTCCGTGGGCAGCCACAAAGAAATACAGTGGTGGCTCTTGGTCTGATGTACCCTGTAGACCAAAATTATAGTCCATGCTCTCATAGAGATCATTTCTTTGCAGAACTCATTCATTTAACTTGTCAAATGTTTTTACCCCACAGAAAGAATAAAAACGACATAAGCAAACTCATCTTCAAAAGTGGGGATTTCCAAATGTCCCCATACGCTGAGTACTCCAAGAACCCTCGCTCACAAGAATGGGGCCGAGAAGCTATTGAAATGCACGAGAATGGAAGTACCAAAAACCTCCTGCAGATGACAGATGTATATTACTCGGTGTGTATTCGCACGTTCAGTGCAACCTCAGGGCCCTGTGCACCTCTGAGAAGTGAAGGAATGCTGTTTTGTAGTAGTAAAAGCGTTCCAACTAGTTAAGGGTTAAAGAGAAGAGTGGCGGCTGTCTCTTATTTGCATATTTTAATATTCGATTACTCACAATATATTTGCATGATATTTACAAGTTTTGACATTGGGATGTGAAGGATGTTTCCTTACATCACAGTACTTTATGGGGCTGCAGCAATAACCCTCTTGCTTTTTAAATTACAGGATAGAAACTGAAAAGTAGAAAGAATTTAGGGATATTGAGCCCTTGGCCCTTTCGTTTTTATCTCTGTTCTGCCGTGCTTTACCTCGTGTGGTTGAGTAGTTAAAATTGGGAATGGAAGAAGGTATAAAGAGAATAATTCAATGTCATCATCAACAAGGGCTTCTCAGAGGTTTAGAACACTCTCTGCTCACAAACCAGCCAAACCTGTTGCCATTGAGTCGATTCCGACTCATAGTGACCAAGGACAGAGTAGAACTGCCCCATAGGGTTTCCAAGGGTGTCAAACTTTAAGGAAGCAGACATCTTTCTCCCCAGAGCAGCCGATGGGTTTGAGTCACCCACCTTTTGGTTAGCAGCCAAGCACTTAACCACTGGGCCGCCAGGGCTCCTTTGTACTAATGCCTACTCAATAACATTTATACACGAACAGATAGCTTCCAATTTTATCTGCTCAAAAACCTGTTGCCATCGAGTCGATTCCAACTCACAGCAACCCTATAGGACAAAGTAGAGAACTGCCCCATAGGGCTTCCAGGGAGAGGCCGGTGAATTTGAACTGCTGACCTTTTGGTTAGTAGTCATAGTTCTCAACCATCGCGCCCTTTACCGGCTCAGTAGATCTTTAAGAACGTGAGATGCCCAGCCCTGAACTGCATCATTTGGAAAGACGGGTGACTACCTCGCACACTTGCATCTTCTGTCCTGCTTGAAGTTAACCCATGTCGTATTTCTGTGCTCTGTCCGGTTCATTTCACATTACACGGCGCCAACCAGAAAGCAAACACACGGGGATACCTGAGCTGAAAAGTAGATGGATGGCAGGTGACCGCTCCTGCCCTGCAGAGCTGTTTGAGCTGTAACAATAAACATGAAACCTTACCCCCTAGGGGCTTAATAGCATTAGACAATCTCATTACAGAAACCATAATCCCTCTGGTTGCTATGGGAATTAACCATGAGGATTCAGACTTTGGATGGGATGGCGAGTTTGTTCAGACTTAGGAGCTGTTTGTACTTTTGGTGGGCTCATTTTGAAAAATTTTAATCTGGAGGAAGAACAAGAAGAAGTAAGGGGGAAGAGTTTGTGTAGCCCCAAACTCAGCTCTAGTTCAAATGTTTCCATGGATATTTCTGCTTCAGGACTTTGCTCTTTGCTATCTCTGTAAAAGTCCCTTTACTTTAACAACGGAAGGCATCCCGGAGCAGGTATTTTACCCACGTGTGCCCACTGCTGTTGAGTCGATTCTGACTCATAATGACTCTGTCTTCGTCATCTAGTGCTGCTATAACGGAAATACCACAAGTGGATAGCTTTAACAAAGAGAAGTTTATTTCCTCACAGAAAGTAGGCTAAAAGTCCAAATTCAGGCATCAGCTTCAGGGGAAGGCTTTCTCTCTCTGTCGGCCTTCTCATCAATCTTCCCCCAGACTAGGACCTTCTCCACGCAGGGAACCCCGTGTCCAAAGGACGCGCTCTGCTCCTGGCACTGCTTTTTTGGTGGTATGAGGTCCCCCCCACCCTCTGCTTGCTTCCCTTTCCTTTTATCTCTTGTAAGATAAAAGGTGGTGCAGGCCACACCCCAGGGAAACTCCCTCTACGTTGGATCAGGATGTGGCCTTGGTAAGGGTGTTACAATCCCACCCTAATCCTCTTTAACAGAAAATTACAATCACAAAATGGAGGACAACCACACAATACTGGGAATCATGGCCTAGCCAACTTGTTACACACATTTTTGGGGGGACATAGGTCAATCCGTGACAGACCCTATAGGACAGAGGAGAACTGCCCCATAGGGTTTCCAAGGAACGGTTGGTGGATTCGAACTGCTGACCTTTTGGTTAGCAACTATAGCTCGTAACCATGTGCCGCCAAGGCTCCCTTCAACCTTAGTGGAATGCAGTAACACAGCAACACACAGGCCTACAGCACCGACAATGTAGGACCAAACTTAGCTGCACGTTTCCATGGCATTAGCAAAAGAGTTGCCTTAAAAAGATATAGTCAAGGACTTAAATGAACCCAATCTTCATTTCAAAATTAGAAGGCTGAGCAGTCTGCAGAAGCAGAGCATAAGCTTACGGCATGAAGCTGTCTACTCTACAGAGAAGGATACTTTTTTAAAAATCATGATAATAATCGGTAAAACCATCATCACGCAGGCTTAATTCAGGTCTTTTCCTACGTTGGTCCAAAGTCACTGGGCTGCCCTGGATCCATGTTCTTTCAGATCTCCTTTTAAAATATTGACAGACGTATACCAGGTTCCATCAAGAGACAGACCCATGATGGCCCTGACTTCTTGGTCAGGCCTTGGTTCTGCTATTTGTATCTGCCTTTCTCTTACGTTCATTAAAAGGTAGCATTCTTTTTTTTTTTTTTTTAACTATAAATTTAAACTCAAGATTACTAAACTGACTTTTCTTTTTTCTGGCCACCAGCCCACAGGTGTACGGAATCCTGAACTTGAACGAAATGGACTATACCCGGCCTACACTGGATTGCCGGGATCGCGGCACTCTTGCATTTTCCCCGGACAGTATAACCCATCGTTCATCAGTGATGAGAGCAGGAGAAGAGACTACTTTTAACTACAGAAGAGAGAGGGAGGGCCCGCTGCTCTGAGCAAGTTACGGGGACTTCATGGGACTGCACCAGGACGGACCGCCACCGCTGGCTGCTCCCGGGACTTGTCGGAGCCACGCTCAGTGGCAAGCAGAAAGTGGGACAGGCGTGAGGGGAGTGACCACAGTGAAAGGGGACAGATGGGGCCTGTAGACGTGGCACCACAGGCTGCTCATCTGGCGCCTGGATTGCTGCTGTGAATGTGAACATGGGCCAGTACAAAAAGAGTTCCTCAGAGTAACTGCGACACGGCCGCTAGCACTAAGGCAGATCGTTAGGCGTCATGGCAAGGACCCAGTTTTTCCTTAGTTTGCACTTTAGTAAATTGGATGAGGAAGTCTCCTTTTGGATGTATTTCAAGACTGATCCAAAAAAAGGCCTCTTTTCCTCAGACCTTTCCGTCAGCCTCAATTTGGCAATCCATCTGAAGCAAAATACTGGCTCTAGTTATTTTCCTGCCGGTGCCTACATGTTAAATGACAGATGATGCTAAACATACCACTAAGGTTTGAAGATGCTGCAGTTTAACGCACAGTATTTTAATGTTTCTAGGTCTGATTATGCTACAGATTCCAAGCCAGCCCCCAAAATGAGGAACTGAAATGGGTCGAGCACAGCACACAACTTCAATTTGCTTTTTATCAGGATAGCACGTTTACTTAAAATGATTTTGTCCCTTTGCAATGAAATCTCCCTTCTTCAAACAAGTCTGGGTCAGGGCAAAACAATGTCTGTCTGGTTTAGTTAGAGGCGCCCAGCTGCCCCGTGGTGAGCCCAGCAGGCAGAATCAGGGGCTGACCCTGGCTACGGCCCTGGTGGATGATCTAGCAAGCTGAAGGGTTGGGGCACTTTTTATCAGTGAGGACACTACATGGTGCCTGGGACTCCGACCGCCGTCTTGGAGGCCAGAGGCTGCTATGGATGGGTTAGAATGGCACGCTGAATGCAGGTGGTGTCTGAGCTGGTATTTCACGACCAGAGGAAAAGCAGCTTGATGTGATTCCTGCAGCTGAAGGTGGTTAGAGGGATGGATGGCACGAGCAAGTCAGAATTCCCGAAACGCTAGTGCTTTGGGAAGCCGTGTGGATACCTGAGGAAGATTAGGGAGTCTGGATGGAGTACCACGTGAGTGTGCTTACCTGCTAGTGCGGCCTCTTTGATTGTACCTGTGATCCTGTCCACAGACTCAGTGTAAACTTGCAACTGCTCAAAGCTATTTGTTCATTGAAGAAATCACTCATCTTCTCTCATCCAGTAATTCGTACGTCTTTATACTACTGTGTCATTCCCCCAGAATCATGGTTATAAGTCAGCACCGGAGAACTAAAGACTTCTGGCCAGGTAGGGAGGTGGGAGTTTGCCTTTGGGAAGGAAATTCCACGCATCTTATTTCTTGCACCTGTGACGTGGGTCCTATGAGGGGGGCATATCCAGTGCTCAGTGTCTTTAACTGCCTCTTGTGGAGCTGTGCTTATTCTCATCATCTCCTTTTGGAACATCCTGGTTTTGGGTGAAGTGAAGAGAACACAGAAGTAAAAGAATTGCTCCTACCCTGAAGCTTTGCGCTCAGGGACACACACTTTTGGAAATGGTTCAGCCATTGGGAACAATTCCACCCTGGGCATGGTTGTTTCTTCCAGGTCTCTAATCTCCTCAGAGCTGTGTAGTCCTTATTCCTATGCTATCCTCACTCTCCCAGTTTTAAGCACGTACTGCTGTGTGGCGTGGTCTCCAGTGCTCACCATCGTCACGCTGCTGAGGTAGGAATGCTCATCAGGTGCGATACATCTTAGTACGTATATCCACTCATCTCATGGGATAGACACAAAAAGAATTCTGTTTTTGTCACCGGATGCCAAGTTCAAATTACAGAGCATCATATTACCTTTTTGAAATCTTGGGTCTTGTATCTCTCTGGAGAACCAAATGGACCTTTCTACCTTATTACCTTACATCTACCTGGAGAGCTCAGAGTGATTGCACTCTGCTCACCTGAGCTCAGAGTTGGCACCCTTGTAAGGAGGCCCAGCTTTCTGGCTCTTTTCGTACCCTCCTTGCTCATCACCAGGACCCACAGCTGTGGGAAGGGCCCAGGTGTGGGGGTTTAGTCCAAGGCATACACTTCTGCCTTCAGCTGACATCACAGCTGACAGATCACCTGTATCAGGGCCAGACGCTGTCAGTTCCACACAATGAAGTGTTCTGTCCCAAAAGCCTTGAGAAGAATCCCAATCCAGAAAAAGAGTGTCCTGTGAGTTCCAAAAATGCTTTCCTGTTTATTGTCTGTATGGGGTGGATTAAGAGTGTATTGTTTTTAACTGAAAAAATGAGGCACCCTGCCAGGTTGAAGTAACATAATACCTACAATTTCTAGGAGGCAGTGGAGATGGGGCAAGTGCATCTCAAGAGCCGTGAGGTTCTAAGAAGCACACGAAAGCAGCATGCCTGTTCCCCAGTGCTAGCTGACCACCTGGTGAGGAAGGGAGCGGATGGCTTCACCCCTGCTTGTGGTTAATCCCTCCAGGGGGGTTCTGCCTGGGCTGAGGGGAAACAGCTGGTTGCCGGCAGCAACCTCTGGACGGACAGCCGGGCTGGGCACACACCTGGCAAACAGGAACTCTCTGCTCTGGCCCAGGTGCTCCAGCATCTCTCCCTGCCTGGAATGTGTGACTCATGCATTTGGAGCACCATGGGGCCCCACAGCTGGCGGAAGGTGAGAGGACGGGCACAGTGACACTTACCTGCCCCTGAGATGCTTACGATTCTGTAGGGAAAAGCCGGACCAAGTGGCACATGTGTGGCCGGACGTGTTCAGAGCACGCCAACTGTCAGATCAGGGAGGTGCTCCCCGCTGGTCTCCCAGTGTCTGGGGGTTTTGTGTAAGCTCCACCACCACCAGTTGCCGTCAAGTTGACTCCGACTCCTGGCAATCCTACGTGTGTCAGAGTAGAGCTGTCCCCCATAGGGTAGATCACCAGGCCATTCTTCCAAGGCACCTCTGGGTGGTCTCGAACCTCCAACCTTTCAGTTAGTAGCTGGGCATGTTAACTGTTTGCAACACCCAGGAACGTGTAAAGCCCCAGAGGGTCTTATTTCACCTATCTTTTCCTGTTTTCCCCATGAGCCAGCCCAGGGCACTAGAGGCTGTTTATTAGGATGAGCCAACATCTCTTGTTGCTCCCATGACAAGGCTCCATGCAAGGTCCTTGGCCTCATACACCCCTGAGAGGTAGGCATGAGAGTGCCCGTTTCTCAGACAGTAGCCTTCAGAGAGGTAAAACAACTTGCCTTGTAGAGCCGAGATTCCAACCCCAGTCTGCCTGATACTCGTTTGTACTTTCCACTCTCTCTCTCTGCCTCGCCATCCAACGGGGACAAGAGAGAAGAATGGGCTTGAAAATAAGTTCTTATTTTTCTTAAAGAGCCTAAATATTATCAAGCAATAGCCAAGCGAATGGCATGAAGTACAAGAAGAATGTTGAATCCCCTTTTGGAAAAGTCCTTTCCAGTTTGTTTCTGCATATATGTTTTTGAAGCTGATGGCAATCATTGAGAAAACAGTGGCTGGCCTGTGCTTAGCAAGAAGCATTTTGGTATGTGGCTTTGGGTGTGGGAGGTGTAATGTGGTGATCTGGATTTTTTTAGAAACATGGCCAGATTTATACGTCTCACTGAGGGCTGCCTCCTTCAGAGACCCCTGAGAAGGCTCAAGCCGAGTTCCCGTAGTAAGGCCCTGGTTCCCTGCACATGGGAAGTGTATTTTTGTGAACCATTGCCAGAGTTGGGAGCATATTCAGTTGACTGTCTTAAATGCTTGCAAGCCTTCCTTCTCTGAGAGGAAATTTATTTTCAGGAGCAGCTAAGTCATTTAGAGCCCAAATTGCTAAATGGATGGTTTAATTGAGCTGGCTGATAGCATTTGAGGTCAGAAAATAAGACATGACTATTAAGTTCTTGGGAAACCCTGGTGGTGCAGTGGATAAGAGCTACAGCTGCTAACCAAAAGGTCAGCAGTTTGAAACCACTTGGCGCGCTCCTTGGAAACCCCATGGAGCAGTTCTACTCTGTCCTATAGGGTCACTATGAGTCGGAATCGACTTGACGGCAACGGGTTTATTAAGTTCTTGATGAGGTGCCTCTTGAAGTTGGCTTTGAGGACACTTCCCCAGAGGGAAGGGCGGCAGCCTTAGAATATAAGGCTGGATGGCTGCCGAGGAAAAGGCCTCTATGGGATGGTATCGACTCAGGTGTAAAGGCCCCCAAGCAGGTGTGTTGGAGTCCCTCGCACGTGGCTTTGTAGTGCCCCCATTCAGCCATCTTGCCCGTGCCCAGGTGCCCTCTAACACTGCTCAGTTCTGCCCAAAGAAGCTGGGCCTGCACATCCCAGTTGCCCTTGGCTTAGTTCAGCCTAACACGTCCAAAACGAAGAGTTTGACCTCTAAGTTCTCAAATACCTACATTTCTTTAGAGAAAGGAAGAAAGTAAAGTTTCATATCTCAGTATTTTATATCTTATGTTAAAACTTCACTCATTATCAGAGAGGTTTTTCTATTTGAAAGCTGTGGGGATTAGAAAGGACATTTCATTTGTTTCTTGACAAAGTGTCATTCCGAGCTTCTCTTGCATTTTGGAAACAGACAGGACTTTGTGGGGTTTGCTTTTGGGTATGTGTTCTTTTTCTTTTCTCGAATCCCTCGAGAAAACTGGTTAAAATACTAGGACCATTGAAGTATTAAATGCCAATTTGTTTTATAAAGTATCTTTTCAATAGTGTTATTGTTGTGTGCTAATTAGTCGATTCCCGATTTATAGCGACCTCATGTGACAGAGTAGAACTGCCCCATAGGGTTTTCGAGGCTGTCATCTTTATGAGAGCAGATTGCCGGGTCTTTTCTCCCATGGAGCCTCTGGGTGGGTTCGAATCGCCAGCCTTTCGGTTAGCAGCCGAGTGCTTAACCACTGTGCCACCAGTGTTCCTTTCAGTAGTGTTACAATCCATCGTATCTGGTGTTAGCTGCTCACAGACAAGCCTGTGAAACCAGAGGGGCAGTTTAGGTCTAAAAAGAGACAGCATTTTTTCAAAGAGGACATTTTAAAGAATTTTCACATGAGATTCTGGTTGTATTTTATTGTTTGGATGCATCTAATGCACATCAGGTGTAGCGTTTTTGGAGCGAGAGATGGGGCAGGACAGGCATGGGATCCAACAGTCTACATGGGAACCTAACCCATCTCACTTCTCTTTCTGCCCTACCTTGGCCTGTTTTAAAAGGAAAATGGACATTTCATCATGGGTTGCTGTGAGTTTTGTTAATGTTTGTGTTGCTGGATTTACGGTTAAGTGAAGCATATAGCTGGAGTATGAACTTTCTGAGTTTTCCCATTGTCCCAGATTCTCTTTGTAAACCTTTAAACCTTAGCCCTGATCGACTGTGTTAAATCCACTATGAGAATGTTATTTAAAATTGTGTTATAATTACAACCTCCACTAATTATTCAGTACTGTAGCAGCAGTATTATTTGTAAGAATTTGGTTATTTTTATACTTATATCCACTATAAGTCTGGCGTTCTAGTCAGTAAAATGATGCAATAAAATTAATATCATTTTCATTGTGTGTTTTTCTCTTAATCACAAGCAAACCAGACCAGAGTGCAACCAGTTATTTCTCATGAGGCATCCATCACTCAAACCGCAGAACCATACAGTGAATTCCTGCGTGTCAAGTGTAGGAAACCAACCAACCAACCAGTTGCCGTCGAGTCAATTCTGACTCATGGCAACCCCATGTATGCCAGAGTAGAACTGTGCTCCATGGGGTTTTCAAGGCTGTGACCTTTCAGAAGCAGATCGCCAGGCCTTTCTTCCGAGGTTCCTCTGGGTGTGCTCGAACTGCCAACATTTCGGTTCGTAGTTGAGTGCTTAACCAGTTATGCCACCCAGGGACTCCTTCAAATAACTGAGTCATTGCTGTGTCCTTAGTGCCTAGAGCAATGAGGAAATATACTTTTGCTGGATGGACAGATGGAAGGATGGACAGACATAAATGATAAAAAGCCTAATTCAGGTGTAACATCTACTTTTGTTTGGGTTGGGTTGGATGGTGTAAGTAGCTGATTCTGAGACCAAAAATGTCCTCCTGAATGCCTCCCACTACCACCCATGCCAACTCTTGGCTCTTGGAGGAGAAGGGAAAGTAAACACATCTCCGCTCTGTAGTGGAGGGAACCTGTGGAACTTTCAGATGGTGGCCTTGTACTTACAGCAGCCAGTCTGTGTAGTGGCCTCGCTAGATATTTGTTCATTCACTAATGCTGTCTTGGGAGCCTTGCATGGCAAGGATGGATGAGCCTGTCAGATGTATTATGGCAAAAAAACCTTGGTACTAGGGGAGGCCAATAATGGCAGACTTAAGCATGAAGGCAGATTAGATTGGGGATGCAGCCCATCCCACATTTCTGAATGGAAGCAACCTATAACACTCTCCTCTCTTGACCCAGCTCCTTCCTTCCCTTTTATCAGCCCTCCAGTTAAAAGCCCCCAACTGAGACCTTGGCAGGAACTCAGTACTGAGCCCTGCTGGACTTGTCAAAGATCACATCGCTTCCAGGCCCTCTCCCCTGCTAACTGATTTGAACCTAATATGGGAGAGCCTTCTGCTGTCCGCTGACCAGCTGGCCTGCGGGCTGATCTGCTTGTGCCTCTGACCAGCAGTGCTGAGCCTGTACCTCGTGATTTGATTAGCCAGTAAGTAAAGATCTAAAACGTATGTTTAAACCTTTGGACTTAAAGGACTTTCCACAATGCTTAGTGAGCCATTTTTCAGTTGCTTGGGAAGTAATGAAAAGCAGGGGCACAATATGTAGATTATACAGGCTAGCATCCTCCTGTATTGGATACTGAACGGCTGGGACAGCTTTAAATCCCCAAAACTGGATTGCAGCGTCATGTAGCTTCCTGGCACAGCGAGCGTGAACTTCAGACCAGAAAGCTATGAGAGAGATGTCAGGAATAGAGATGTTTATGTTGATTTTTATTGCCCTCATAAATACCTGCAGCACCGTCAGAAGGCCTGGGTTCTGACAGCTGGTACAAGACACTCTCCAACTTGTTTATGGCTGCTTTTCCCAGGATCATAGTTTCAGGCCTAACAGTCTGTTTAGCTCCCTGAGCCTCAGTGTCCTGATCAGTCAAGTGGGGTAATACTCATTGCCTTGCAGAGTTGTCATGAGGATTAAAAGGGAGAAGTCATAGGAAGATACTTTATGAATTAGGAAGAAACATACAAATATTGGTTCTCTTCAGTAGGCCCTCCCTTACCAAAAGACCCACTGCCATGGAGTCAGTTCTGACTCCTAATGGAGCCTTGGTGGCATGGTGGTTAAGAGCTTAGCTGCTAACCGAAAGATTGGCAGTTCCAATCCAGCAGCTGCTCCTTGGAAATCCTATGGGGCAGTTCTACTCTGCCCTATAGGGTCGCTATGAGTTGGAATTGACTCAGTGGCAACAGGTTCAGTTTTTTTTTTTTTTTTAAATTTTATTTTTTGGTTATACCGATAAAAGGTAATGGCAGGATTTACAGGTCATTTAAATGCTGATTGCTAGTGAAAGCCTGTAATATCATTTTTTTTGAAGCCCTGTCTTGACCTAGTTTTGAGGCCCTGGACAGGGGCTGGTCAGTTGCCCTTCCTGAGCAGCTGATTAAGTCCACACTCCAACCACTTCCCTTATCAGGTTCTCATGCCCTGGACCCATGTGCCAAACAACTAGAAACAGTCCCTATGCCCCAGAGCCCATGAACTTATTAAAAAATCCAACCCCCAGGAGGCCCGCAAAACCTAGCTAACCCTACCCTGCTTGCTGTACTTAAGCCATCATCTATGGCCCCAGCTTGCTGTTACCCTGTCCCTGGGAGCAACCTCCTGTGCAGCTCTGCATGGTAGCCTTCTCTTGTTCGGAGTTGTAAGCAACAAAAGTTCTGCCTTTCCTCTCTCTGAGTGTGTTTGTGTTATGTCCTGCCATGATGGTTGATGTTATGCATCATCTTGGCTAGGCTATGATTCTCAGCGGTTTGGCAGACACTATGTAATCACCTTCCATTTTGTGATCTGATGTGAGCAGCCAATCAGCTGAAAGGGGAGTTTCCTTTGGGGTGTGGCTGTCTCCGGTATATAAATGGATGTTCTGGCGAAACTCTCTCTGTTTCTCAACCCTGCACTCTTCTCGTTGCCTGACCTTCGGTTCTTGGGACGTAAGCCTGCAGAGGTATCTGGCCTGCTGCCTGACCTACAGATTTTGGATTCGCCAACCCCTACAACCCCAAGAGCCAGGAGAAGCCTCCAGCCTGCCACCTGACCTGCAGATTTTGGGTTTGTCAGCCCCTCAACTACATGAGCCAAGAGAGGTCTTCAGCCTGTTGCCTGACACACAGATTTGGGACTTGCCAGCCCCCACAATTGCATGAGCCATTTCCTTGAAGTAAATTTCTTTCTATATATGTTTATGTATGTTCACTGGTTTTGTTCCTGTGGAGAACCCAGACTAAGACACCCTCCATCCAAGGAACCTATAATCATACCTCATATGATTATGAAACACTGCCCTGGATGACTGTCAAAGTATTCTCATTATTTTCTCTTCACTCCTTCTCCAACCTGCTCCCTATACATGAAGGGACTAATGGGCTCAAAACTGTCAAGTCTGTAGGGATAGGAATCAAGACTATCATAGTTAACATTGTCTACTCAGTCCCTATCACCCAGTAGGCATTCTCTAAAACAGAGAAAGAATGAGTAAATGGACTGATGACTAACTTATGGTAGATTAACATAGCTATTGATCCTTAGTTCAATGTCATGGAACATTTATGACATGTAACTGAACAGGAATCCTTAGCAAAGATCTCTTATAGCAAAGCTCAAGCAGGCCTTGTGGAGAAAGCACTTTAAAGATACTCTAGAAAGACCTTTATCTAATGAACAGAAAAGGAGATTGCAAAACAACCATACAATGAAATACTACTCAGCAATAAAAAGCAGCAAACTCCTGCAACAGATAATAACATGGATGAATTGTAAAAGCATGCCAAGTAAAAAAGCTGACACAAATATATCCTGTATGATTCCATTAATGTTACATTCCAGAAAGGACTAAACTATAGGGACTGAAAACAGGTCAGTGGTTGCCTGGAGGTAGAGGAGAGAATTTCTGCTGTTTACCAAATATTTTCAGCTTTCTTCCTTTGAGGCACATGGTAGGATGCACTTCCCCATCCCTTTGAAGTTAGGTGTGGCCATGTGACTTCTTTGGCCAAAGAAATGTGAATGGAAGTGAAATATGTCACTTCTGAGAAGACATTTACAAGTCAGTATGCGATTTATCTCTTCTCTTGCCTTGGCAATGGAAGTACATGTTGAGATGGAACCACTCTTGGCCAGGTTCCCTGAGTGACTAAGGTGAACATAGATGAACTCCTGGTGACTGAGCTTGGACATGAATGTGAAATAATCTTTTGTTGTGTTAAGGCACTGAGATTTAGGGGTCATCTGCTACTACAGCATTACTTAGCCCATCCTGACTAGTACAGCCTAACTAAAAGTAACACTAGTTACTGCAGTTTAGGTGAGTTGCTTGACCCCTAGTTCAATGCCATGAAACATTTATGATTATCATTAAAATTCTTCAACTAAGTTGTTTTAAGGTTTTGTTTTGTTTTATAATAATTCACATTAGAAACACTTACTGAGTGGCTCATATTTTCCAAGCCTGCTGTGTGAGGCTTTGTGATGTGGATGGGCTTTTGAACCAGAAAGAGCTAGGTTTGAATCTCACCTCTACTGCTTCTTGGCTATAGGACCTTGATGAATTTCTTAGCCAATTTGATAATCAGTTTCCTCTGCTGTAAAATAGAAATGATGATAACACCTAACTCAGAGGGATATTAAGGGACTAATTGACAGAATTCATCTAAAGTATATCTAAATGATAGAATGCTTCTAAAACCCTGGCCCAGGCATGAAGCAGACATTGAATAAATGTGTATTAGCCTCCAGTGATTTCATTCTACTTGGATCAACAATCAGCCTCCATGGAAGCAACAGTCAAGAAATCAAACAACATAGTCACTGGGAAAATCTGCTGCAAAACACTTCGTTAAATTTTTAAAAAGCAAAGATGCTGTTTTGATGACTAAGGTGCACCTGACCCAAGCCACTGTCTTTTCAATCACATCCTATGCATGTGAAAGCTGGACAATGAAAAGGAAGACAGAAGAATTGATGCACTCAAACTGTGGTATTGGCCAAGAATATGAAATATACTATGGACTGCCAGAAGCATGGAAACCCTGGTGGCATAGTGGTTAAGAGCTACAGCTGCTAACCAAAAGATCAGCAGTTCAAATCCATGCAGCACTCCTTGGAAACCCTATGGGGCAGTTCTACTCTGTCTTTTAGGGTCACTATGAGTCAGAATCAACTTGACACTACAGGTTGGTTTCTGGCCAGAAAAACAAACAACTCTGTCTTAGAAGAAATACAACCAGAATGTACCTTAGAAGCAAGTATGATGAGACTTTAGCTCACTTATTTTGGACACATCATCAGAAAAGATCACTAGAAAGGGACATCATGTTGATAAAGTAGGGGGTCAGTGGTGAGTGGCGTCTGGGGTCTTAAAAGCTAGCGAGCAGCCATCTAAGATACATCAATTTGTCCCAACCCACCTGGAGCAAAGGAGAATGAAGAATACCAAAGACACAAGGAAAATACTAGCCCAAGAGACAGAAAGGGCCACATAAAACAGAGACTCCATAGGCCTGAGACCAGAAGAACTGGATGG